TTTCGACGTTTGTTAGTTTTAAAATGCCGTTTGATTAACTTTTTTATGTTATTTGTTTTAAAGTTAGTATTATAATAGGTATTAACATTTTGTTAATCTTATGATGATGCCTCAACTCAACTCAAATTTAGTATGCTAAATTAACAAAAATCGCGGGTTAGTCACGTATACATCCTGAGAAAAGCTCAACTAGTTTTGAATCACAGAGGGGTTATTTCTCATGAGTGCGTGCGCGGTCGCGGCGATGTCGCGCGGATTACTGGCAAGCTAAAATGTGAATAAATGAAACGATTTCGAAAACTAGTTTTACAATTCTGAATTCCAATTTCAAACACTTTCTTCAATTTCGTTAGTTAGGAAAGACACCCTTGATGTCATAGTAATTTTTCTTTATCTAGGCCTCATAGTAATAAATGTCTAACATTTTCAATAATGCCATCCAATTTAGTTCGAATTCACCGATTCTGATATCTCTACCACCGACCAACCAACGAGCGTCATTAGCTACAATAGTGTTGATAACGCTAAAAGCTCCTGCAGGCCTTTCTAGTTTAAATGTTCTGTAAATTGTCCTGGTTTAACCGTTGGGAATAAACTCCAACGTGCCACGTCACAAACAACTTTTAAGAATTATTCCGGTGCAAGGATTTGCTTTATGACGCTAACTTTTCTACTTTGTCCGTTCTCATGCATTCTTAGTGTTGTTCGCATCTTGACTTCTACAAGCCGAGTCAGTGCTTATGCACCGTGTCTTACTCTTGGCATGCAATGTTCAAGTTATAAATCAAAATTATTATTTCAAAATTTCCTTTGCATGAGGAAGATTTTTGTTTTGTTCATGTAGTTGCTTTCTTTAAAATATGTTGTTTCTGTTTTGGTCTACATAACATCACGCCTTTTATCCCCGAAGGGGAAGGCAGAGGTGCACATTATGCCACTGTACAATGAAATGAATGAAATGAAAAACCCACTTTTCACTATTTATGTTATGAGGCTCACCCCCTATTACAATAGGGGGTGAGCCTATTGCCATATACCAGGCACAATTCCAGACTCCGTGCTACTACTGAGATTTTTTTTAAAACCCAATAATCCTTTACCCTACCCGGGAATCGAACCCGAGACCCCTTGCCCGGCAGTCTCACTTGCGACCACTCGGCCAACGAGGCAGTCTTCTTCAGTTGTTTCTGTTTTGGTTTGTTATTATAAAAGTTGCTATTGTCGATCGAAGTTATAAAATGTATTTTTAAAACCAATGATGATAGGATTGTTTTCAACTAATGGATAAAGTTTTTCTACCCTAGTGTTACTTGTGTATCGTTTTTTAATTATATTGTTCACTAAATGAAACAGCTTTTACGTGTATTATTTACAAACTCTTTATAAATTCTTTTTCATTTGTAAATACTTTATTCTGTTTGTACGAAGCCATCAAAGTATCTACTGTTTTACCTTCATCGAATAATCACATGTATCACATTACATTTGTTGGGAAATGTTTTGAAGTATCACATAAAATCGTTTTTATTGTCAATACAAGACTCATTTTTATAGCCCGTTTATGAGGGCTCGAGTGAAGAATGGATACGTCTATGGAAGGATGTTGGCGATTGTATTTACCTCTGTTGATAAAATTTCATTATATTGTAATAAGGAAAATTATTATCTAGGTACTTTTTACGCACGTGTAAGTCAATATAATAGGCGGAATTTAATCTATTCTGATTAATTATAAAACGTTCTGTGTCGATTATTCACGCATATAGTAGCACCCGTTTGTCAATTTATAAGTGTTCATTGTGGAAAAAACCTTTTTTCTTCTATTAATACAACTTTGCCAGCACAGTTCAAGGACTTGATTTGATGATAGGCCTATTTAAAACATATCCAAATCAATCACCAATATAAATAATACGCCTACGTTTACTCGTAGGCGTTGAACTACGTCTAGTATTGATTATCTTTTGTTATTTCAAATTATTCCAGTACCCATACCTAATTGGCTTTCGACAAACTTTGTTTGGTTTTTAAAATATCTTGTTCTTATTTATATTAAAGTCACGTTTGCCATACTTTTCACAAAGAACATTATACATTCGGCTTTGATTACGATGTGTGAACATAATTCAATTTGCAGTACCCATTTTCTTTTGATATTTTTATATATTTGGCAACATTAGAGTTGGCATTAAGTAAGGCACGCCCCGAAGTGAAGGGAATCTTGTTTCGTCAGCATTAACATTAAGACAAATTGGAAAAAAGATTGTAGGCCGAAGAAATGATAGGATTTGGCTGTCTCTTTGAGTAATCACAAGCTCCCTTTTATTTCCTTTTTCCAGAATTATTTTTATTACTTCATTAGGATTAGATAAATTGCGAACTTGTTTTTTAGAAAACACTGCCTTAGTTTAATGCATGCTTAACTTAATCATTCAAACTCTAAAAGAAATTCTTCCTAGCATACAGACAGTCATGTGTTTCTACTTGAAAGCATATTTATTTTGAAAATGGAAGGAAAACAAAATCATTCAGTTCGTTAACCCTTGAAACACAGGTGCACTCTCACAAGTGCCCATTCCAGTACGTTTCCACTTCATTAGCAACAACTAAAACAGTACAAACGGAACGTAAGAAACCTTGTATAGGTGACAGCGACAAAGAACAGACATAGGTAGCACAGTCCCATTGCTGTGGTACATAAAGAGCTGGGACACAATACAATTTCTGCCTCGGACGCCTTCCAACAATACACGTCGTCCTTTTCAGGTCACTTCCAGTTGTAACATGTTCAACAAATAATTATGCTTCGTGTATTGTGTGAAAAACCGTTTGTATAACACGGCCCGGTAAACGAGTTTATTGAATGTTGGAAATCGTAATTTGTTTTTATTTTTATTTTTTTATTTGTTTGTTTACGTTTTCGAATTGTGGGTGTGTTGTGCTTATGAATCGATGAGTGGGTGTTTTTTACCTTTGTAAGAATTTATATTACGTTATTTATCTGTTAGGTTATTTCTGTAAGATTTAGGTGAGTTATTTAAAGGCTGAAGACTCTCAAAGTTTCTTTCGGTTCGTATATGTTCCACATATAATTTGTGTTCAGCTATTTTTTGTGTATGGCTTTCAAAATGTTGCTATATAACTTTATTGATATTTGAAGTGTACATACAGTAAAACTAGTCTGTACACAAAATAGCGGAACAACAATGTCAGTTCGCCTTTTTCTATTGACCCAAAACTGCGTCATGAAAACCCACTCATAAATATTTTTTATGATGAATAACCCCGTATTGGGGTTTGATGTTACTATGTATGGCGCCGACGTATCTTTGATTTTACACTAAAAAACTTTAGTATAATTCTATGACCTGAGCTAACAAAGCTTAGAAATCTTGTAATTATTTTCCATACGAAAATATGTATTGTATTACTTTGAAGTGATTTTTTTTTATTTTAGTCTGTTTAGTTTTTAATTCTCCCAATATCGCCAACAAAGTTTTAATTGATATATTTTTCCTACCGGTCCTGTACCATTATTAATTAATTTAAATTCTAAATAACTTAATCTGTCAAACACCAAGCGGTCACCGGTGACCGCGACCTATTGTTCTTTAATTGTGTCTATAAAACCGGTACTCGACGAGTTAATTGAATACCGTGTACATCTCCAATAATAAAATAAAAATAAATTACACTAAGTATAAACGATGCCATCAATGACACATAGAAAAAATACTTTACGTACTTATGTTTCTGCATTGTAACATTGCAAGGTCAAGTGATTGATTAATTTATGGGTTTACCCACATTTACTTCATATTTTTGCTATGGTTTATTGGTCTGCCCGTGTTACTTGATTCTGTTCTTTGTGTTGATTTATCACTTGGCCCACATTTTTAAATAGTGAGTCTTTATATTTGTTCTTTTATATTCGCCACACTTACACGTTATTTTTGTATTGTTTATATTTGTTTATATGTACGTACCGCTGTGCGTTCTAAATTGCTTACTTCTTGTTTTTAATATTGTTTCTCAGTAAGCGAATTAGTATGTGATTCTTCATGAGATATAAAGATAAAGATACCTATTCTAAACCTAAACGTATTTTTTTAAATTAAATTATTATTTAAATTCGGATACTTACTACAACAATTGTTTTAAATTATTTGTATACTTTTAGGGTTTTTTTAAGGGGGGAAAATCGTCGAATGACTGCTCCCGCCTGTGTGAGGCGGGAGGGAATGTCAAACTCTTACTGACTAAAAACCACCCCGTTCCTTCTCCTGCACGTCGAACCGGAGCGCCGGTAACCCGTTAGGTTCTCCGCGACTCCGAATCTACTTTTAGGGTTAGGAAACAGTATAAAATATATTAAGTAAAAATCGAGAGTTGCTCACGTGAATATACTGTTGAGTAACCCGCGATTTTTAGTTAATTTAGTATGTCTCACGATAGTTATTATAAAAACATTATAAGATATAATAAACCTCGGAATATATGAGTTTAAAAGCAAGTGTATAGAAACTGTTATTAAAATAACTTGGTGAACCCTTGCTTGCTTATGAAGTCCTACACATTCTCCAGCAAATAGGTAGCTGTTTTGTAACGTAATTAGCTTCCAACACATTTTATGTGAGAGTTTGTAGTTTCATAACAGTTAGATATTATATTCTAGTGGGATGAGAGTATAAGAAGCTCGCTATTTAATTTTTAATTAGTTTAATCTAAATAGATAAGTGTTGTAACAGGAAGTTACTTGACTATGTATCTGACTCATATTTAACTAATTATCCGTCGGAATTACAGGAACTCAATAAACAATTTATTGTGTTATAGTCCTTAAGTATGGCTTTAACGGATACATAAAAAAATATCTATATATCTATAGTATTATGAAATCCTTTACACTAAATTCTAACAAAAAAATATACATCCCAGCAACCTTTGAAAAATTTTGCAGTTTCTTGGAATAAAATTTTAAAATTAAACCTCGTCTTTTCCAGATGTAACCGCAACGCTTCGCAGCCGAATCGTCGGAAGACAAATTCTCCTCAGAAGAACGATGTCGATTAAAAAGTCGGACGTTATACAAAGAACGATGAGTGTGCTGAGGGGGTTTTAGTGAGAAATTGTGAAAAATAGAAAGAGTGAAGATGTCGGTAAAAGCGAGCGTTGGTTAAACAAAAAGGGTAAAAATGGCCTTCAAAGGATTCTGTGGCGAAGTGATCGGGTTTTTCCTGGCTGTGGGTTTTTGCATCATATGTCCGGAATATGGTAAGTCTAGTTCCTAGTTTGAAATTCGTTTGAAACATTTTCGGGCCAGGTCATATAAAGCTCATTGATAACAGTTACTGTTCTAGTAAACATTTCAATATTAAAAAACCAGATCGTAAAACTATTATTAAAATAGATAAAAAAAACTTTTGTTATATTTTTGAGAATAGCGTCGTTTTAGAAACTATAAGGTTAAATTACGAATATAGTTAAGTCTATTGTATTTAGATTTTTGAATAAAAACGATAGATATTTTACTAATGAAGTCCCCTAACTTTTATGCCTAGAGGCATAACAGTGGTTTGGATGCTAGAGCATACAAACCATTTAATAATTGCTTCCTCTTTTTTGATATTGTACAAGTATTGAGTTAAAAAAGTATTCTAGTAGGATTTTCTTTATATGTAGGTAAATATCAACAATATCTTCATACAACACAAAACCAACTTACCAAATCAGAAATCCACACATCACCAACATTCTGAGAAGCTTATACAAATCAAAACAAATCTTTATCCCTTCAAAAATATTCAAAAGGCCTTTGAATACTTTGCTCTAGATCAAAAATGTAAGAGTATTAAAGCCTTCATATCCGTTATTTCCTGGTATGCCCGCACATGTCCAACCTTTGTCATTCCGAACAAAAGCAGTGTCATGTTCATGGGGAACATCAACTTTGTATCTTTCAACCTTCGTGGCAAACAGAGCGTCTAATTCTTTTGAAGTCGTCTGATGGTTAGAGATTGAAGCCGTGAGTTTAGTTTTGTAAGATTAACGTTTCATGTTTGATGGGTGGGTCTGGGTGTGTTGTGTGTAGTATGTTTTACATAACTGTGTTTTTTTTTCGTTTGTATTTTTGTAGGATTGTGTCTGAAGATGGGGTTAGCGAAGACATTACTTTGATTAGTCATCAGACAATTTGAATTATCATTTCTGTCGATTATTTATTCAGTTTTCAGTTCAACAAATCATTATAGATTATCGCTTGGTATGATCCTTACTTTTATATGCTTTATTTAGCCGTAACCAGTTTATCAGCAGTCTTTTAATATTTTTTCGATGGATAGGGTTGATATACGCCTTTACTGCCCAAAAATAGCGCAGTGTATTGATCAAAATCACTTCTAACGACATCAAAATGTTGTTTGTATAGTTTAACCTTTAGTGCGTCATAATCCACGTACGAGTAGTTTAGTTTTCTACAATTTACGTGTTCCAAACCATTAACCAACTTTGCTTAATTATTCATGTGTTCACAAAACTTAATAGCATACTGCCTGGTCCCGCTCCGCCCTCGGCACAGGTAACTGCTTATGTAATTTGTTTTAGTAAAATAATGTTTCGTTAAAATTGTATCCATCAATTTTGGCAAAGTCAGGATTGAGGAATGGTGTATTTGTTTTGAAACTGACTGTTGTTTTAGATTAAGTTACATAAGGAATAGTCTTGAGTGTGATTCTGGAAAAACTATGACTTTATCTTAATCTATCCCAGAGATAGAAAAAAATTGTAACACTGCGTTTTGGATCAAACAATTTCCAAAAAATGCACAAGTATAAAGTTCAAACTTCCTTCATACCAATCAAGGTTCGGCACGCATTAGCTACCACACACAAACATACCAATGACCGTCCCAAAATTAACAATAAACTTTCAAATATGGGCTTCTCACATTCCTACATCTACGGACTCTAACCGCCATCGCAAAATTGTTGCCGAACCCAATTATCGTGGTTCGAGACCGAAATTTGGCGAGGCCAAGTTTCCAAGTTTTACTAACAAATTTACCTAACCGAGACAATACTAGTTTTGTACGAATTCTAGTGGGGAACATTTCAAAACTACTCGAAACAGGTATGCGGTTATTGAGTAAATAAATACTCTTTTACGGTATACGGTTCCGAGTACTGGGAAAATATTTTTTACCGTTCTTGTTTGTGTAGCAATACGTTTAGACCAAATTGGATAGGATTCTAGATGAGAAATGGAAACATTTATGAAAGAGAACCCTGTACCTGTGTGTTTTTTATATTATATAGGTACATTCAAGTATGAATTATGTGAATATTTCTTGCCTTATAATATACCTAGATATGATGAAATACAGAAAGTCGTAACCAATGGTCCAAAACAACTTTTTTATAGTGAACATCATAATTATAATCATAATAATATAAGCTTATAAGTGGCCATTGCTGACCAAATCTTGCACGGCTAAGGTTTGAGCATTCAATAACCATGCTTGCTCAATTCGAATGGAAATTTCAAAGAAATTATAAGCCCAGCTTTTTTCACGATGTTTATTATACCGTTTGACAATGATGTCTGAATAATCATAGAACATATATACCTACATATAATTTGCAATAAGTCATATTGCTGCTTGCGGTCGGTAACTTTCAAACACGCACTCCTATGTATGAGAAGCATCTTAAACCTCCGGCCACCACGACATATTAAAGTTAACATTATGAACCTATTTATGTTCTTCTGTCTGTGAGGAAAAGAAGAGGACCAAGAAAATATAGTTACCATTGCATAATTATCCTGTTCTTCTGTTCATCATTCATAGGGTTCCTATACTAACTGACAAGGATACTACATAGCCTGTAACTTGTGTATGTTCTTTGATATTGTTTCACATAGACTACATACCAGTCAATAAGGATGTTTGCATAGGTACCAAAAACTGCCATTATAATACAGAATCTAAAGCACTTCGCTTGTCTTGAGCCCTGGATCAGATTTATTTACTAAGGGCTGCCTTTGAATAGATATACTTACGTATACATACTGTCAGGTTTCTTTGACATAATATATTTGATATAAATAGGACATAATAATATTCCTCGAATTATCACAAATGAAGCATATATTCGTTTATATACCTCATATACTTAAATAGGTGGTATATTATCCGCATGTATAATTGTATATCATTGAATGGAAATTTTAGGGATTTATATAGATAGAAGAATTATATTTTCCTTTGTACGAACATTGAACCTAGCTCTTAGAAATCAGTAGGCGTGCTGTCAACGTAAATGAAGCGGATAAAAATAAAATTTTGTTCAATAGGTATTCGTGAAAGCGAAAATTCGAGAACGTACGTCCCTACTTACATATTTCCAAAGCTCCATGAGTGTATGCATAATTGGACTAAACGAAATTTGTGTGGTGTAACATGAAATACCTAGAATGTCACGTTTCATTACTTTCTTTTACTGGATGTGTTACTGGATCACCTGATGGTAAGCAAAAGACAACTGAAACACCAAAGGCGTTACAAGTGCGTTACCGGCCTTTTGGGGATTAGGAGTTTGAGGATCGTTGGGCATTCTGGAATTGGGGAGATTGGGGAAGGGGTGGGTAAAATTGGGCCTCCGGTAACCTCACTCACACGACGAAATACAACGCAAGCATTGCTTCATGTCGGTTTTCTGTGAAATCGGTTCATTCATGCCGAAGCATGGCTCTCCCACACTTAGATATCAGTCATCATATTTTCGCGTCAAATAACACACTTATATCTAAAAAAAATGCTAGAATAAATCGAAAATTAAGAATATCGGTAAACAAATCAATGAATGAAAGTGCAACTATTTTTCAATATTTAATTGGACTAAAAAAATCAAAATAATTTGTTTTTACCCAGTGAACTAACCCAATTATGTACGTACTTCTAAACCTACAATTAAATATGGATATTTTGTATGATTAACCTTTGGCATGTCTAAAAAGCGGAACCATGCGAGACACAATGTATTTTCTATTGTGTCATATTAGGTGCACTCAAGGGATTAATAATATTTTTTGTATACGTATCTATAGATGATGTACATACATCATTCTTTCAAAATACTAAAGACAATTACAATGTCAAGACGCAATTTTCCATTTGACAGTTCAAATAAGTTTCCGTCGCATCACTTCAGATCGCCCATTAACTTACCCATCATTAAATGGAGTAAATTGTTCAGAGATTTTCTTTTTAGGGGTCTGATCCCAAAGAGTAACTCAACGGCAACCTTTTTCAGTACCTAATGGCGTTTTTACCATTCAGTTTTCGTTTGCTGTCTATATGCTTTTATATAGGTACATTTATATTTTTAGGTCAGGTCACAAGGTCAAATATTGTTATAATAACTATTATTCTGTATTTAAGCTTAAATCTATTTCAGTGTTTTTTTATGGCATAAGCCGGTAAACGAGCAGACGGATCACCTGATGGTAAGCAATCGGCGTCACCCATGGACACCTAGAACACCAGACGCGTTAAAAGTGCGTTACCGGTTTTTTGGGGATTAGGAGTTTGAGAATTGTTGGGGATTCAGGGAATGGGGTGGTTGGGGAAGGGGAGGGTAATTGGGCCTCCGGTAACCTCACTCACACGACGAAACACAACGCAAGTGTTGCTTCACGTCGGTTTTCTGTGAGGCCGTGGTAGCACTCCGGTTGAGCCGGCCCATTCGTGCCGAAGCAGGGCTCTCCCACACTTAAAGCGTAACAATTTCAAACTATATTTAGATCTTATTTAATACTGACAAATAGAAATGTGCCTTGTAAAGGCCCAATCCAGTTTAACCCCTTCAAAACTGATAAGTGTACTTAATTGTAATTTTCTGCGTCTAAATAAAAATTTATATCATGGTGGCCCGGAGGTTCAAGACGCCCGCTTCTCATACATGAGGGTGCGGATTCAAAACCTACCAACGACAAGTACCAATGTGACTTTTTCCGAGTTATATGTATTTTCTAAGATTTAAATAATCTTTCTACTAAAAAACTGTGAAGGAAAACATCGCCAGAAAAACTGGGCATATAATTTCAAATTATAAGTTTAAAATCGCCGCATTGAGCAAGCGTAGTGATTAATGCTCAAACCTTCTCCGGGTGAGAAGAGGCTTTGCTCAGCAGTGGGCATTTATAGGCTGTTGATGTAAATAAAAATATATCAATATGAACTATTAATATTCCATATCTCCAGCATTTAACAATAC